GCACCCTTCACAATCCCGATGGCCACAAACACCCTTCACAATCCAGAACCCCAAGTTCAGTGGTTTGAGTTGGTGGTTTCCAAATCAGGGCTGTGAGGATCCCTACATATGGATTTTAGATCCAAGCCAACAGCTCCCCATTCAGGAGTTTGGATTCTTTCCTTCCTCAAGCTTTAAGGATTAAGGATTATAGGGCTGGGTAAGGATTACGGACTAATGCGGATTAAGGATTGTTCGGATTACAAGCATTTTTCGGATTAGCAGGATTGCGGATTAGTTTTGTAGGCGCGCTCATTTTGATGAGCCCAGGTTGTATACCGTCATTCCACCGGTGTCTTTGTTTCATTCTGCCACAAGACAGACTGGCACTGGGGTTCCTCATTGGCACGACAAAAAGGCCTTACTCAACAAGGAGGTCCATGGATTCCTCGGCGAGTTGTGTGAATCGACATCAAAAACTCCCAGAGTATATTTCTGCGGTTATATAATCACGCTCACCTCCATGATCCGCCATCAATCGCTAGACCATGAAATCAGGGGACCAGTCGTGATTTGGATCTTTTAAACAATTCTGTCGTGCCAAGAATCACTGGAGGTTATGAGAATATGAGAGTTGTTCAACCAAGAGTTCCACCTCCAACTCTAAAGTCGAAAGCTGCGTTGCTTGGATTCCGTCCGTGGGCGCGGGTTCGGACGCTCGGCCTCTCGGCACCGTTCGGACCCGAAAAACCGGTGCACCGTTCGACCCACCCGACTCTCGACCGGCCTAGGTCCACTGGGGCCATCACCTTCGGCGTCTTCGAGGAGAAGATGCGAAGTCCGGCGGTGCGGAACTACTTCGAGACGTTGGGCCTCGACGCCCGGAGGGGTCGAGACCGGTACGACCGGTTGGGTGGGCGTTTTTTGGGGGAGGGAAGGAGGGAGGGAGGGAGGATCAGAAAGGGGAATGAGAGCGGGATGGATCAGACATGGGATATGACAGTTGGTCTTTTGAAGGATGTTGCAGGTATATAAAATCATAAGGATGCTGAATCCTGAAGGCTCAAGCAAAGGGCTAAAAAGGTGTCGACCTCAGTTCTGACATATCCACAGGTTTCCACGCAGTTGGTGAACTGCTGCAAACGAACCTTGACCTATAGTGGCCAAAGCCGTCATGGAAGCCAGGTCATTTTCAGAATGGAGTTTCAGTGCCAGTCATGGATCTCCAGAACAGCGTGGTTGGATTTTTCTGCGACGCGATCGCCGTCTAAGGACGTTTGGGACCCCTGGAGTTTTTTCAAGTTGCTTGACTCTGATGGAGGCCGGAGTTCTTGATGATCATGGCCGGAAGCGATGTGGTTGAAACGCCCCCCCAAAAAGGGATGATCCTATATGAACCAATAGGTTGTGATATTTGATAGTGACTTTATAATGCATTCAGGAAGGGGGATTGCAAGATGCCTTGTATTGCCATGATTTTCTTCACAGTTGAAATTAAAAAAAAACGTGTTTCCCCAACACCCCCCTCCAAACACAATTACATGATACAGTAATGTGTCTAAAACTGCCGGTGATACCGCAGTGTGGGTTCTTTGTTCGCGCAGGAGGCTCGGTCGAAAGAGAGGAGTTTTTTATGGGATGCTTACGCTTCAGCGGTCAAGCGCGTGCAATGGACGTGGGGAAGATCATTCAGGAGAGCGACGTTTTTGCCGCGCGTCGTCAATGCCCTTTGGTGAACGTGGGGTGAACCTTCGGCCGAACGACAAAAACGAGTTCAGCTTCCAGTGGCCCTTAGAAGAGTTCAGACTTTTTGCAGGTCTCAGGGAAGTTGCCTCATGATCTATTTCTTGTAGAAATCCTCTTATAGGGCATAGGGTCGCGATGATCTCCTTCCGACCTTTCTCGGATGAGGCTGTGGGGATGAAGCTGGGACCCTCCGGCCCTTTCCGTCGCAGCGTGAGGACCAATCCTGGATCTTAAGGAACCAGGGACGACGCTTGGAATTCGACGCGTGGAATTCGGGACGACCAAACCCGAGGATTCGGAGGCTTTGGGTGGCCAAACCCGGGTTCTTGCGAGCGTTTTGCAAGATTTGCAAGCTCTTCAATGCCCCAATCACTTATGGACCTTGTAGTTCAACGTTCATCACAAGGTAGGAATCGCATCATCATGCAGAGCTTGAGCCTCGTGGTGCGCTTCTGAACTCCGCCCGTTCCTTTCGCCCGTTCCTTTCGCGACAAACCCAGGATTCCAGAGCTACATGGAAACAGAACTCCGCAAGCTGCGAGAGGACCGATGTTGGGAGGACCTTTTTTTCCAGGACCTACGAACGTAGCAAGGTGAAGACGACGTTCACGGGGCGCTCCTGGCCGCCACTACTATAGAGCAAGGTTCGCTACGAATTCGGAGCATTGCGGGACGCTACTAGAGGTAAAGAGCATGGGTCAGGGCCAGTGGGGAGCATCGTTCAGAACCTAGGTGTTGAAATTTAGTAAGGACATGGTCAGAGGGACACTATGTGTTAAGCAATGCCATGATTTGCGGAAGGTTGCGTAATGTTGCGTAAACAGTTTTTGGCTGTAGTACAACGTAAGCCAAGTGCCGAAGCTTGATCTTTTCTCCTTGGATTTGCATGTGCGCTTGGGAAACCAATCCGAAGTGCAAGCGTGTGTGCGACCGTTCGCTCCAAACATAGGCTTTGAACAACGCTCATTTGTATTAACGCCCTTTTGTTTATATATGTTATGTGTGTGCTCTTTTTTCAGCTTGGCTAGGACATGAAGCCTGGATTTCAGTGCAAATGGTGCTCTAGGCAGATCTGAACACCAGGCGGCGGTTTTTTTGTTGCGGCTCCCTTTCTCTCTCTCTCTCTCTATCTCTTTCTCTAACTTGTTTGTTTGTTTCTATGCTTTTCCTGGCTCTTTTTGGTTGGAATGAAACCCTCTGAAAATTGGATTAGTTTTTGGAAGCGGGAACCCCGTTTTGAAGTAGAAATGCAGTGTAGTGTAGAGCTTGTGTTTCCCTGTTTGTTTGAGAGTTTGTGCTTGTTTTTTGCCCACACTGAGATGTATCTCAACAAGCAGCAGTTCCGCACTGAGAGGATCGGCTGCGAGAAGTATCGGGCAGCCAGATGTGTTGTGCTAGAGCAACGTTTTGAGACAAGAGTTTTGCGATTGGATGTTGATTAGCTTGGAGCCTTTGTTTGGGTTTGCAGACGCTTAGTAGCTTGTTTTGCTACACTCCCTGGAATCATCATGGAAGTGGAATGAAGGTTCCACACCAGCCATTTGTAATGGAACATGGTGATCCAAGGGGCCATGAGGGCCACTTCCATGATGAATCCAGGGAGTGTAGGAACCCCGACCTGGACACCACCGAGACGCCCCAAAGAGGTCGAGCCAGGTTGGTCAGGTTGAGCAGCGCGGCACACGATGGCCCAAGGCCAAGATGTGCGCCGTATCTTTTGAGAAGAAAAGGGGTCACTTTCAATGGCGCGGGGCATGCAGAGAGGTGTAGAGATGACATGAGATGAGAGAGAGAGAGAGAAAAAAAAAACAGAGAGAGAAAAAACAACGACAACACTGTTCAAATGCTTTTTAGAGGGGATTTACTTATCTATTTGAGTTATTTGAGGTCATTGCAGTTGGGCGTGGTCTTAGGGAGGTACTCCACATTCGTCCACATTCCCAGCAAGGAGGTTGGCTCAAGAGCATGAGATGCCTTGTGCCGCAAACAGTGCCAGACACGGGCAGCCCAAGCTAAGGCTACGAGATCATCGTGCCAAGGATATTCCTTGGAATATCTTGGAATGTCACTGGAACATGAAGAACAAACCAAAGACACTAATACTTAATAGGTGTAATATAGACACCCTCAATGTGATATTTGATAATATATTTAACATATACGCATGTATATAATATTATATAACATAGTCATGGATGACATGCATGAAGCCGATGTGCACTTGCAGCTTCCGTTCGCAGTTTGTGCAAGATGACAGCTCGTCCAGCGACACCTCCGAGACGTGTCTATGGCAAGCAGCCGGAAGCTGTGCTGAAACCATTCAATTCGCGATCGCGTGTTTACCCTTCCAGGTTGGATTCTCGAAGAGCGGGCACCCAAAGCAACGGATTTTGGTTGCGCTGTGCTTCAGCGCAATTAGCAACACATGTCGCTTCGTCCCTGTCAGATGCCGCTAACTCATGGAAAGAAGTACAGTAGATTAGATGAGCCAAACCAGCTCTGGTTAGTGCCAAGTCTTGTGTATAGTATAGGACCTTCTGTCCTCCACAGTGAGGAATGCCATAATCGGTCCACTTTTAGGATCTTTCAGGTTCCTTGGTGATGCCTACACAGTTTGAGCAGCCGGAGCGTTCAGAACAGAGTGTTGTCAAACCATTGTCAAACCATGATGCTTCTCAACGATTTTTGGGAAGTTTGTGGCAAATGCCACGGGATGTGTGTCAACTTGTGTCTCAGAAGGTCTCACCAGGTTGGTCCCCTATTGATCCTATCTTGCTTATCGGCCTATTGGATCTTCTTTATTTGTTATTTGGGTCATTTCTTGGATGCTTGGGGCACACTGATTGACCTTCGATAGATCGTGTTCTTGATCATCGGCACTGGTTAGCAGCGAATCGTGAGTGTGGACACAATTGCGAGGACATGATCCTGGACTTGCGGCCTTCACTGCAGGCATTCCCCACAGTATCCTGAACATGACCCTGAAAAAGTCTTTTCCGCAACCAGCTAAAGTCAGGTGGTATTATATAGAGGTACTTAGTATATTGCTAGCTCTTTAGCTAGGTTTCGTACCACTACAAAAGCCGTACTTGTCACAAGTTACGTTGCGGCATGAGCAGCCGCAGTTGTATATGCTTTTGTGCATTGGATGTTGCTTCTTTGGCCCAGGATGTTGCGGGCACGCCAGTCCCAGCCGCTCCATCAAAGCATAAAATTTTTGTGACCTCGTCGAAGACCGGAGAGTTTCATTGTGGTCATCCCGCAGGATTGGTTCGATGTGTTCGCAAAGGTCGAGGGATGCCGTGTCGACAAGAAGTGTGTCATAGTTGTAGTACACTCTGGGAAGGGTCCACATGGAACCTGAAAACTACGCCTGGTTTGTAGAGGAAGCTATCGTCTTCCAGTCAGGTCCATTTTCGTCGGTTCCCATGTGGACCTCCTTGCCGGGTGGGATGTGGATCTTAGTTCGGCATCCAAACTGGGCATGGGAAGCTGCATGTGATGCTTAGTACAGATCCATGGGATCGCCTACCTGAATCGGTGAGCTGGAATCGGCGGCAGTGACAGAACCAATGGATTCATAGATGTGAGTCTACTGTGGGCCCCTAGGACTATCGGTTTGTAGAAACATCAGCAAGAATTGCAATGCTTTTTATTGAGTTCAGGCAGGTAGTAGACACGTTATCCAGGAGAAACCATGCAGGACTTGCCCCCCAGCCCCATCAAGACTACGTATGCTTCAGCTATTGCTCAGTTGTTCAGCATGTCTACAGATTTGCCTCAGGTGAACGAGTCTGGCCCGATGACCTTTTACATTCCGCCCTGCGCTGATCACTTAAACCTTTGCGACCTCATCAAGAAAGGAGGAGGGAAGATTGCACAGAAGGCCGGAAAGGATGCCATCAATATCGTGCCTGAATCGGCCACTTGGCATCGTTCTCAACTAAGCAACTAATTAGTTTACGAGAGCAGGCCTTGGGCAACCCAACACTTATATACATCACTCCAGCTGTAAGTATAGGCAAAGCAAACAGTCCTTCCAAGTGCCGATTGCATACGGTCTATTTAATTGGCACGTGGGGATTCTAGAATCAATCAACACCGAATCAACACCACATGAAACAAACCACTTGATTGAGCACCACGGAAGCCACCCCATGATGCTGCTGCGTGTTGCATGGCGAGATTGCCAACGAAGGTGAACCCCCCCAGCGCTGCAGTAGGTTACCTTGGGTCAGTGTTAGCACGTATCTAGGATGATCTAGGTATCCACCTTCGAAGTCCCAAAGTCCAACAATTCACACCGTCGAGAATCCCCGGGGGCGCTTAATTGCTGAATCTCACATGGTCGGCTCCATTCTTTCGCAACAAAAAACTCATGTCACATCCGGGGTGATGCTTGGTCACGTAAACGCGGGAAGCATCGCGCTGTCGAGCCTCTCGGCCCCATCCAAGGCCAAACACAAAAAGATTCAACGCTTGGAGGAGCGACACGACACATCGCAGCGCTTTTTTCTTGCGAGCAACGGCACGGAACCGGCACCGAGGGTTCCGCAAGCAGTGAGGTGACAAAGAGCCATCGCATGTGGTAGAGCATGCGGACGTGGGGTGCGATTGGGAACTCCTAGCCATTTTCCCATGGCAATATCACCCTGGTTGGATCAACTGAGATCCTTTTGAGCTGTGGAGCGCGTTTACTGTAACTATTTAACATTATTTAACTATATACTATAGGCCACCAACCTCATCACGAAGGCATGGAGTTAGGAGGGCCTATGAATTTGTATACCTGACACTTATAGGCGGATGTATCTCAGCTTGAGCGGTGCGGGGAGAAAAAAGACCCTCTTCTTCTTCTTTGCATGGGCGACGGACTTAAATCAGGCTCAGCGCTGATCCAAGAAAGCGCTAGGCTTAGCAGCTCAGCAGCGAACCAAAGAAACACGCCTCAACCTCGCAGGACGCCACCTCCTCGCGCTTCATCGTGGATTGCACGCCACTTGACGTCCTGATCGGTCGGTCCGATGTCCGTCGACCACGAGGGACCTGCACGATTTTTTTCCCAGGACGGCCCCTCGGGGCGGATCAAGCCCCGTTTTTTTGGTTTCTAATAGCAAACATTGTTACTACTAGTAAGGCACTTGTTCCTAGTAGAGACAACACTCGCCACCACTGCTTTTAGGGTTTAGGGATGTTTAGGGTACGTAGGATGCTCACCACCATTGATGGGCGAAAATCGACACCCACCGGGACTCTCCGGGACTCCCAGTTTCGTACCGCTATGAGGTTCGAGTCCTTCATGGTGGTTCATCTAGTCTTAGGCGGCATGGGCGGTGTATAGCATCATCAACCCCTTAATTAGGCCCTTGGAAGTTGCTTTGGCAAAGGCAACAGGCGTTTCATCGGAATATTTTGCCAAAGAGAATTCATGTTGGCATGTGCCGACTTGCCAAAGCTTTTGAAGTTTTGTTTGATTTGGTTTTCTCCTTCTTGCCGCAACGCCACCAGGTTTCAACAGAAGACGCTGCCTTTGGGGGACTACCGTTTGGGCCCTCCCATGCGCAAGCCTGCCGCAGCACCGGGGCGCCCGTCGCAAGCCCGTCGGGCGCGCACCCGAGAGAAGTACACGCGGGAAGATGATGTGACTTGATGCAGGTCCATGCAGGTTCGCCCCCAAGCTTCTTGTTCCTACTAGCTTCTTGTTACTACTAGCGTGGCACTTGTTCCTAATAGCGTCCTTGTTACTACTAGTAAGGCACCTGTTACTACTAGCATGGCACTTGTTCCTAATAGCCTCCTTG